GAGGGCCAGAGCAAGGACTCTCCCACAGACATCCACGACACAGCGGAAGAAACTGAGGCACAGTGGCCAGAACAGACCAGGGGCCCAACACATATCGTCAAACAAATGAATGAATGAACAAGCAGGTGAGTGAACTATAGCAAGAAGACAACCAGCAAATGATCCTTTAAAGTATGACCAGAAAAAACCTACTAAACAACCAATATTTGTTGAAAGCTAGCCACATGCCAGGCGCTCTGCCAGGTGCAGGGGGTGCCATGGTGCAAACAGCCTTCCGTTGTGGCCACTGATAGGAAACCACACCAATAGCCACCAGCATGGGCTGGGAGCCAGCTAAGCCCTGCTCAGACACTGTCCCAGCTAAGCCACACCGGTGATGACATTCCTGCTCCCACAGGCGATGCTATTGCCCAAGGCCACAGGCTGGTAAGGGTAGAGCCACTGAAACAGATGCCCTCCCCTCTCCCGGGCCCCTATCCAGAGGCCCATGAAAGACACCACCTGGGAGACAGTCACAACTGGCTAATCCAGAGGCCATGGCACTCAGTTTACCCCAGAATGGATCTCCTGGGCACCCACCACATTGCCTCCTTCCCTTCCTCCCTCTGCCCATTGTCCAGCTGTCCCCTGCACAGCTGGTGTCCTAGGCCTCCCTTCTGGGCACTTCACAGATCATGAGCAGCACCCAGCAAACCCTGCACTGAAGTCCGAGGCTCACCACCCGGACCCCCAGTGAGGATTTTGTTCCTGAGCTTGTCAGTACCACAGCCCCCTACTCCTAATGGTGCACCCAATGTTTGTGGGCTACAGAAAAAGCCAAGGGGAAGAGATGGGGAAAAGCAAACTCGTACATTTTAGAAGAAAATATGGCAGAATATCTTCATGAGTCAGGGTAAAGAAAGATTCTCTTACAAGGCACTCAAAAAAAAAAAAGCACAGAGGAAAAAACTGATGAAACTTACTACATTATTCAAATGAAAAACTGCTAGGGCCGGGCACAGTGGCTCACGCCTGTAATCCCAGCACTTTGGGAGGCCGAGGCAGGCAGATCATGAGGTCAGGAGTTCAAAATCAGCCTGGCCAACATGGCAAAACCCCGTCTCTACTAAAAATACAAAAATTAGCCAGGCATGGTGGTGCATGCCTGTAATCCCAGCTACTTGGGAGGCTGAGGCAGGAGAATCACTTGAACCTCGGAGGTGGAGGTTGCAGTGAGCCGAGATCCTGCCACTGCATTCCAGCCCAGATGACAAAGCGAGACTCTGTCTCAGAAAAAAAGAAAAACTGCTGGACAGTGACTCAACAAAGGCACAGTGAGAAGCCAAGCAAACAGTCTGGGAAATGATATTTGCAATGTAAGTAACCAACAAAGGGTTGGAATCCAGGATAAATGACATACTCCTTCAAATCAATAATAAATGGAAAAACAACCCAGCGACAGAATGAACACAGGCTCTCCAGAGGCATTGGGCAGGAGAGGAATCTGAGGAGGTGTCGGGCAGAGGGAAGATGTTGACTCTCACCAGGACAGGGATCACAGTGAAACACCACAGCACATCCATCAGGCCGGAATGTGCCTGGGTTCTCTGGAGGCCAGAGTGGGGGCTGAGGCAAATGCAATACCCAACAAAGCTGAAGGCAAACACATTCTCCCTAACCCAGTGATGCCCTCCCTGGCAGAGGCCCAAGGGGACTCTCCTTCCAGGGTACCAGGAAGCCCTGAGCAGGAATGGCCATGGCACAGCCCTTCTGCAGTATAGGAGTACAAACAACCAACAGGCCTGCCAGCCTGGGATGGGCAAGTGTATCGTGATACATTCAAACACCAGAATGGTGTACAGTGATGGAAATGAATGAAATACAGCCAGTGGCGGGACATGGATACGTCTCAAAATTTCCATAAATCTCTAATGTTATTTAGGTTTTTTAAGGTTTTGGAAGTAGCAGAGGGATACATACAGCAAGATCCACTTACATAGTTTTAAAACATGCAAATCAAGATTATATATAGTCCGTCTGTAATTTCATCTGTGGTAAAATATAAAGATATTCATTTTGGGGACATAGTCGCCAAGTTATTGGTAGCTCAAGGAAAGGCAGGAGGAAGAGCGCTCTGGATTGGGGAGGTTTACAGGGTGCTTGGACTATGCCTATGATTTCTTCAAATAAAAATTTCCAGTAAGTAGAAAACATGGATGTAGAATGTAAGGGTCTGGCAAAGCTGGCTGGGGGTATAGTATTCCTTATCGCCATCTCTGTGCTTCTCTGAATGCTTTAAATAGGTCACAATCGTCATAAGAGGTCTGGTTGAGACCAGCAAGTCCCCTCTCCCCACACTCCAAAAATGAGGGGACAAGACCCTCACTTATTCCTCAGGTTCCTTCATGGTGAGCACAGGGCATTCATTTAGCTCAACCCAGCACTGGTCCCCCATGGATCACCCCAACACCCCAGGGGCTCTCAACCCCAGGGCACGCATGACAATCATCCAAGGTGCGTTTTCAAAAATATGTATGCAGGGCCCCGCCCCCAGAGACTGATCCTGGTGGCCTAGGAGAGGACCAGGGGCATGATGCTGTTTTTAAAAAACCACAGGCCTAGCGTCCTCAACTCCCAGCACGGCTCAGTGGCCAAACAACAATCCTAAAACCCTCATGTGCTCTGCGCTGCTGGGCCCGCCTATCTGCAGCTGATCCTGTAGTCATTTCTCCGAGCCTTCGTCCAGGGAATGCTCACACCTGGCCTTGAACATTTACACCACATCCTTTGTCAGGATGCTGTGCTATACACGAGGCCAGCGTTTCCACTTCATCTGCTTTTCTGGCCTCTGAGGCAGGTCCTTTAGACCTCAGAAATAGCCTGTCCAGGGCGCACAGGGAAGGGCAGAGGGAACCCAGGTTCACCTGACTCCTGGGCTACAACATCTGTTTGTCCACTTGAGCTAAGGTATCCCCTTCAAGACCTCCTGTCATGGCCCTTGAAAGGATTCCCTCATTTAAAAATACTCATTGCATCACGCGACCGGGCAGATATCTATCTGCCATAAATCTTAACTCTCTATCTGCGTCGTTGGGTCGCTATTACCCCAGACTCTCCATCTAATCAGCAGGGGCGGTGGGCCAGGAACTGCAGGCAACATTGCCTCTAGGGCGGGCCTTCTTTATTCCTTAAACATGTGCTATGGTATTTCACACAAGAAAATATTTACAAGGCTGGGCGCGGTGGCTCAAGCCTGTAATCCCAGCACTTTGGGAGGCCGAGGCGGGTGGATCACGAGGTCAAGAGATCAAGACCATCCTGGTCAAAATGGTGAAACCCCGTCTGTACTAAAAATACAAAAAATTAGCTGGGCATGGTGGCGCGTGCCTGTAATCCCAGCTACTCAGGAGGCTGAGGCAGGAGAATTGCCTGAACCCAGGAGGCGGAGGTTGCGGTGAGCCGAGATCGCGCCATTGCACTCCAGCCTGGGCAACAACAGCGAAACTCCGTCCCAAAAAAAAAAAAAAAAAAAGAAAATATTTACAGGGCATCCCCTTTTAGTCATCAGGGAAATATAAATTAAAACCAAAATAAGATGCTACTACACACCCACCAAAATAGCTAACATAAAAAGACAGAAAAAAATTGATGATTGAGGATGTAAAGCACCTGGAACTCTCATATACTGCTAGTGGGAGTAGAGATTGGTACTAATATTTTACTTATTTTATAGGGAAAGGATCTTGCTATGTTGCCCAGGCTGGAATGCAGCGGTTATTCACGGACGCAGTCTCATTACTGATCAGCACAGGAGCTTTGACCTGCTCTGTTTGTGAGCTGGGCTGCTTCACCCCTCCTTAGGCAACCTGGTGGTCACCCCATCTGAGGAGGCCACCATATTGATGCCAAACTTAGTGCAGACACCCAACTGGCATAGGGCTCTACAGCCTAGAACTCAAGCAATCCACCTGCTTCAGCCTCTTGTGTGGCTGGGACCAGGCATGTGCCAGATATAAATATTCTAGAAAACGATTGGGTAGTACCTTCTAAAAGCTAAATATAAACTTACCGGGGCCAGCCATTCTCCTCTCAGGTATGTTTCAAAATAAATGCATATACGTGCCCGTCAAAAGACATTTACAAGAGTATTTATAGCCACTCTATTCTTGGTAGCCGTAAGCTAGAAACAGTTCAGATGTACGTCAGCAATGGAATGGGGAAGTAAGCCATAGTACACTCACATAGTGTAAATCCCACATTCCAGCATAAACCAGCGAAAAACAGTCAGACATACCACATGGAAGTCTCGGCAATAAAACATCAAGCAAAAGTAGCTACAAGCAAGATACTACAAGCTGTATGTTTCCATTTATGTAAAGTTGTAAAAGAGGCATAATCTGTGGACTTAGAAATTGAAGATACTGTTTGCCCTTGTGTGACGGTGGTACCCAGTATGGGCATATGGGAAGCTTCTGGAGAGGTGGTAATACTCTACCTATCTTCTTTGGGGTAGCAGTTACATGACATGTTCACTCAGAACCATTTAATCAAATGTTCGTTTAGGACACGTGCTTTTGTTTTGTTTTGTTTTGAGATGGAGTCTCGCTCTGTCTCTCAGGCTGGAGTACAGTGGCGCAATTTTGGCTCACTGCAACCTCCGCCTCCTGCAACCTCCGCCTCCTGAAGCAATTCTCCTGCCTCAGCCTCCCAAGTAGCTGGGATTATAGGTGCCCTCCACCACACCCAGCTAATTTTCGTAGTTTTAGTAGAGACGGCGTTTCACCATATTGGTCAGGCTGGTGTTGAACTCCTGACCTCACGATCTGCCCGCCTCAGCCTCCCAAAGTGCTGGGATTATAGCTGTGAGCCACCATGTCTGGCCGGACATGTGCTTTTCTAATATGTATGTTGTGATTTAATAAACACTTGACAATCTACAGCCTGGTACATATGTGACCTGAAAAGGAGACCAAGAGACAACCTGAGTGTCCAGCCGATGTGTATGCAGGACGCGAGCCTACCTCTAGGCACCTGGACCAGCTGCATGTATGCCTTGTACAGGTTCCTCCGGCAGACTGGGCTAGGGTCATTCAGCAGGAAGGACAGGGCACGGACGATGTCGTGCTCCAGAAAGGCGAATCTAGGGAAGGGAGGGTGGAGAGAGACCTAAGTGAGACCATGGCCTGAGAGGGTCAAATATGAAAAGTCAGGTTCCCTGCTCGAGTCTGATCCATGCTATCTGGGGGAGACCACATTCCTGACTCACACCTAATCCCAGTGCTTTGGGAGACTGAGCTGGGAGAATCACTTGGGTCAAGAGTTCCAGACCAGCCTGGCAACATGGTGAGACCCAGTCCCTACCTAAAATTTTAAAAGCCAGGCATGGTGGTGTGTGCCTGTGGTCCCAGCTACTCAGTAAGCTAAGGTGGGTGAATCGTTTGAGCCTCAGAGTTCGAGGCTGCAGTGAACTATAATCATGCCACTAAGCTCCAGCATGGATGACAGAGCTGGGTCTTGTCTCCTAAAAACTAAAAAGACTCTAGAAGGGTTGTGCATACAGATTATTTCATTAATGTCTTTGAGTTCTTGCTTTAAAGAAACCAAAGCTGCAAATCAGATGATGTTATGAGTACGGTTTAAGCAAAAAAATATGATGAGAAACACCCACCAGTGGTCTCATATCCAAGAAAAGGCCTGGGCCCCACATGGGGATGGGTGAATGCCTTAACCTTTGCATTTTGGGTTAAAATGAACCATTTAAAGAGAACCATTTCTTCAGTTCCTTGTTTTGTAATCATTTCTTTTTGATTAACCGACTGCTGGACCTGAGTGCACCTGAAAGAGGCCTTCTGAGGTCACATCTCTCAGGCTGGGTTCAGGAATTAATGCGATGCATGCGGTAGCCCCTTAGCCAAGTGCCCACAGGAAGTGCCCAACCAGTTGTGCTACTGAAGCACTGGTCACAATTTCACTTATGGTGTGTTTTGAATTGTTCTCAAAGAAGAAAGTCACTGTGGGACACGCAAGCTGCAGGGGTCTTCCCTCACTGTGGAGGCCTCCTTGGTCAGTGCCTATAACCCAGTCCATGTTTCTTATGCTTTGAAAGTCAGCTGTGGCCGGGCATGGTGGTTCACACCTGTTATCCCAGCACTTTGGGAGGCCAAGGCAGGTAGGTCACAAGGTCAGGAGATCAACACCATCCTGGCCAACAAGGGGAAGCCCCATCTCTACTAAAAATACAAAAATGAGCTGGGCGTGGTGGCACACACCTGTATTCCCAGGTACTCAGGAGGCTGAGGCAGGGGAATAGCTTGAACCCGGGTGGCAGAGGTTGCAGTGAGCCCAGATAGTGCCACTGCACTCCAGCCTGGAGACAGAGCGAGACTCTGTCTCACAAAAAAACAAACAAACAAAAAAAGTCGGTTGTGTTTGCCTGTGTGCCTCCTACCTGGGAAGTTCAGGTCCGCTACCTAGAACCTATGGGGCTCTGACAGCTGTTGGCACTGGTTATAAGATCACCACTGATATCAGGGGAAATTTAGAAGTTGGCCACATTTCTGAGAATGCTGAAGGAGTGCACGGGCCAGGTCATATCAGGTCCTTGTCAGGGATGGTCACTTCACCACGTTCCTGCCTCGCTAATGTGGACAAAGACAGGACCCTTGGCTTAGGCACTCCAGCCAGTCTGCCTTCCTACTATTCTTTATAAGTAGGTTGGTGCAAAAGTAATTGCGTTCTTGGCCGTGACTTTTAATCCCAAAACCGCAATTACTTTTGCACTAACCTAATAATTGCTCAGGCTTCAAGGTCCTGTCCTCTTAGCATCTGTCCCCTCTCACTGGGGTTTACTACTTAATGTCCAGAAAAGTGGGGAAAAAAGAACAGCAGGGCCGGGCATGGTGGCTCACGCCTGTAATCCAAGCACTTTGGAGACCAAGGCGGGCGGATCACCTGAGGTCAGGAGTTCAAGACCAGCCTGACCAACATAGTGAAACCCGTCTTTTAAAAAAAAAAAGAACAGCAGGAAAGGTAACTTGCCTCCTCTGTGCCCCTGACCTTTGAAAGCACCTTGCCTGGGTCATCTGAGGTCTGCAGAGTAAGGCTGGGATCAGGAGTGTTGCCCAGGTCACAGAGCAGGAAAGAGTGGGCCCCTTGAGAGGCCAGGATTTGTGCCCCCACTTCACTGGCCTGTCCGCAGTACCGGCCTGCCCTTCTTGGTACAAAGCATGTGAATTAAGGTGCTAGCCTTGGCACCACCTCCACACACACACGGTTCACACAGGGCCAGGGCTGCACACAGGATCAGCCACCAAGGCAACGAGAGCTTGGGGACTGGCAGGGCTGAGTGACTTTGGGTTTTGTGAGGTGTCCTGGCACTCCTGAAATGATCTGGAGCCTCTCTGAATGGGTACCTGTTTACACCACACAAGCCCCAGGGCAGTCAGCACCTTGCCTCCCTTGTTGTCTTTTCTTCCTTCTAGGCCTGTGCACACTGGGCAGTGGCCTCCTTTATCCAGAAGACCTGGGGCAGGGCTTGGGGGTGTTTGTGAGGTGGGGTTCTGTTTTTGTTTTTTGTTGTTTTTTAGTGGGAGGCTGGTGGGGAAAGCTTCCAGTGAAAACAAGAAAACCTGCCAGACACATTCGAAAAGAGCTGTAGCATTGAGATTTTGTGTTTTGTTTGTTTTGTTTGTTTGTTTGTTTTGAGACAGAGTCTTGCTCTGTCACCAGGCTTGAGTGCAGTGGCGCAATCCTGGCTCACTGCAACTTCCACCTCCTGGGTTCAAGCAATTCTTCCGCCTCAGCCTCCCGAGTAGCTGGGACCACAGGCGCGTGCCACCACGCCTGGCTAATTTTTGTATTTTTAGTAGAGACGGCGTTTCACCATTTTGGCCAGGATGGTCTCGATCTCTTGACCTCGTGATCCACCCACACTGGCCTCACAAAGTGCTGGGATTACAGGCATGAGCCACCGCGCCTGGCCGCGATTTTGTTTTTAATACAAAGTAAACCTAGTGATCACTGGATGAGTGAGCCAAGAAGCACCTCCAGCCATCCCCACCCTGTTGCCCCAGCACCTAAGTAAAATGTTATATGAAATAGTTTAAAATGTGAATCTGTGCTTATACAGGAAAAGGACACTTCCAGGTGCCAGAAACCAAGAACCTGGCCGTCATGAACAGGAAGTGAGGCCACCAGCCCAGACCAGATATGCACTTTGAGGCTGTTGTTTTAATACCCTCACAGGGACAGGGGCCAAAGCCACAGGCCCCGTGGGGATCTGGGTTGGAGAACTGGGCTCTCTGTAAAAAGCTAAGAAATGTCAAAATTGGGCCAGGTGCGGTGGCTCAAGCCCGTAATCCCAGCACTTTGGGAGGCCAAAGCGAGCAGATCACCTGAGGTCGGGAGTTCGAGACCAGCCTGACCAACATGGAGAAACTCTGTCTCTACTAAAAATACAAAAATTAGCCAGGTGTGGTGGCGCATGCCTGTAATCCCAGCTACTTGGGAGGCTGAGGCAAGAGAATCACTTGAACCTGAGAGGCAGAGGTTGCAGTGAGCCAAGATTGTGCCATTGCACTCCAGCCTGGGCAACAAGAGTGAAACTCCATCTCAAAAAAAAAAAGAAAGAAAGAAAGAAAAAGAAATGGCAAAATTGTTGCAGAGGTAGGATCTGAACTTTCTTCCCACCTTGAAAGTGGGAAGCTTGGCTGGGTGCGGTGGCTCATGTCTGTAATCCCAGCACTTTGGGAGGCCGAGGCAGGCAGATCATTTGAGCCCAGGAGTTCGAAACCAGATTGGCCAACATGATAAAACCCTGTGTCTACTAAAAATACAAACATTAGCCAAGCATGATAGCGCATGCCTGTAGTTCCAGCTACTCAGTAGGCTAAGGCACAAGAATTGCTTGAGCCTCAGGGGGCAGACGCTACAGTAAGCTGAGATCATGCAACTGCACTCCAGCCTGGGCAACACAGCAAGAGGCAGTCTCAAAGTAAGAAAAAGGAGGAGAGAGAGAGAAAGAGAGAGAGACAGAAAGAGAGGGACAGAGAGAGAGAGAGAGAAAGAAAGAAGGAAACAAAAGGAAAGAAGGAAGGAAGGAAAGAAGGTAGGGAGGGAGGGAGGGAGGAAGGAAGGGAGAAAGGGAAAAAGGGAGGGAGGGAGAAAGGGAGGAAGGAAGGGAGGGAGGGAGGGAGAGAGGGAAGAAGAAGCTCAGAGCTCAAAACATAAAAATCAGTCTGGGACCGGGCGCGGTGGCTCACGCCTGTAATCTCAGCACTTTGGGAGGCCGAGGCGGGTGGATCACAAGGTCAAGAGATCGAGACCATCCTGGTCAACATGGTGAAACCCCGTCTCTACTAAAAATACAAAAAATCAGCTGAGCATGGTGGCGCGTGCCTGTAATCCCAGCTACTCAGGAGGCTGAGGCAGGAGAATTGCCTGAACCCAGGAGGCGGAGGCTGCGGTGAGCCGAGACCGCGCCATTGCACTCCAGCCTGGGTAACGAGAGCGAAACTCTGTCTCAAAAAAAAAAAAAGGAAAAAATCAGTCTCAACAGAGGGCCCATTAGATCCCCAAAGAGGCAACCAAAACCACCCCACAAAGAGTCGCTCTGGCTAAATTGAAGTCCCTCCAGAAACTGGTGCTGCGGACAAAACTCCAGAGCGCTCTAGGTGGCTCAAGGGAATCCACCCAGACGCACGTGCAGGATCTGAACTACCCAGGAGAGAAGTGCGGCTTGCAAGTGTCACACTGGTTTCCAGAACAGCGTCCCACCTGCCCACGCTGTGGCTCGCCACGACGTGGAGCACCTCGGTGGTCTTTATCCGCACCATGCTGTTTCTATCTTTCAGCAAAGCTTTCAAGTTCTCCATGCAACCTACAACAAACAAACAAACAAACAAACAGACCCTTGAATGTTTGCCAGTCTCAGAAACCAACTAACCCAGAAGTCAACAAGTGGGCCAGTTGGGGCAGGAAGGTACCAGAGGTTCCTCTGATTTAGGGACCTGAGGAATCATGTGGGTTATGCAGCATTTCAGAGTCACTGAAAAGACTCATACCCAGGGACTGTCCCATCCAACCCTCCTAGTGATTCTCCCCGCACACTTCCTACCAGTGCCTTCTCACAAAGTCTGCCATGGGGATAAGAAAGTGGCCTTTGCCATTTATTTGAACCCAAGAGAGACATGGGGTCAAATTATAAACCTGTCTCAAACTAGTCACATGACCTTGAATGGGTTACACTTAGGGATGCCAGATTTAGCAAATAAAAATGCAGCTTTAACCGGGTGCAGTGGCTCACGCCTGCAATCCCAGCACTTTGGGAGGCTGCAGCGGGCGGATCACTTGAGGTCAGGAGTTTGAGGCCAGCCTGACGAACACGATGAAACCCTGTCTCTACTAAAAATACAAAAATTAGCCTGGCATGGTGGCAGGCGCCTGTAATCCCAGCTACTCGAGAGGCTAAGGCAGGAGAATTGCTTGAACCCAAGAGGTGGAGGTTTCAGTGAGCCGAGATTGTGCCATTGCACTCCAGCCTGGACGACAGAGAGAGATTCCATCTCAAAAAAATACAAAATAAATAAAAATCCAGCTTTATTTGTTTATTGGGCAACCCTAGACTCATAACGCTTCTCTGAAGTGTGCTTTTCTTATTTGTTGGTTGCGAATGGACCCTCCTTTGTAGGCGGCTGCACTGAGGAATAAGATAGTCCAGGCTGGGTGTGGTAGCTCATGCCTATAACCCCAGAACTTTGGAGGCTGACCTGAAAGGATCATTTGAGGCCAGGAGTTCAAGAACAGCCTGGGCAACATAGCAACGTCTTGTTTATTAAAAAAAAAAAAAAAGCCGGGCGCGGTGGCTCAAGCCTGTAATCCCAGCACTTTGGGAGGCCGAGGCGGGTGGATCACGAGGTCAAGAGATCGAGACCATCCTGGTCAACATGGTGAAACCCCGTCTCTACTAACACTACAAAAAAAATTAGCTGGGCATGGTGGCGTGTGCCTGTAGTCCCAGTTGCTCAGGAGGCTGAGGCAGGAGAATTGCCTGAACCCAGGAGGCGGAGGTTGCGGTGAGCCGAGATCGCGCCATTGCACTCCAGCCTGGGTAACAAGAGTGAAACTCCGTCTCAAAAAAAAAAAAAGTTTTTTAGGTAGTCAGGCATGGTGGTACATGCCTGTAGTCCTAGTTACTCAGGAAGGATTTCCACTGCCTGGGAGATGGCAAGACCCTGCCCCTATAAATAACTATTTTTTAAAAAGAACCTAGGCACTGCACCTGAGGTGGAACTGGCCTGGAGTCAGGCTCAAACAATAGCAACCCTGATTACTGAAGTTCTACCAAGTGTCCAAAGCCATGCTAGAACCCCAGTCACGGTCACCCGTGCTGTGTCATGCTCACCTATGTTCATGGCCTTGTAGATATGCTCAGGGTCATGCATGAGGTCACACAGGGCCATGAGGGCTTTCTGCCTCGTCTGGAGGTCCTCTGACTGCAGCTCCTCATTCAGCTTAGGTAGTGCCCGATGGCCATAGGCAGTGGTAACTTGGGCAGCATTGATGTTAGTGGAAAGTTCCATGGAGTTTCCAGATTGGGCCATCTTTCCCCAACTATAGAGGCCTCTCCAAACAAAGCTCTGCGGAAACCACTCACTAAAAGAACCCAAAAAGCTGTTATGATTTCAAAGCAACTTCTCATTTGATCCTCCAGACTTCGAGGGGAGGCAGATGGGTATTTTTACTTTCATTTTACAGATGAGCAAACTGAGGCTGAGAGCAATGAAGAGATTTGCTCAAAGTCCCAGGGAAGGCAAGCAACAGCCCAAATTGCAGACTCCAGAGCTCTCCCACACAATAGTGCTTCACAGAAGAAACCACTGACACTTTCGTCTGGATCTTCAGTCAAAGGCACCAAAGGACAAAACAAATCCAACAGGCAAACCCCAAGATGATCACTGTGCTTCATGCTTATCTTGTTCCAGCAATAAGTAGTTTAAACTCAATAAGAAGGGGGCTTGTATTATCCACATTTTACAAATGAGGAAGCCAAGGTTCTGGCCAAGGAGCTTACTGGAGGCCATGAAACTGATAAGAGTAGGAGTCAGTGTTCAAATCTGGGTCTAGTCCATTCACTGCTAGGAACCCATATTCAGATGTTTCTGACACATCCATGAAAAATAATTAATGCTAAAAGGTGATTTATTTTTATTACACACACACACACACACACCCAGTTTTAGCAACTATTTAAGTAGTGTGGATTAGTAGTTAAGAACTGACTCCAGACTCAAGCCATGGGTGACCCTTGGCAAGCCACTTCATCTATGTGTGTCTTTCTGCAGCTTCAAAGGGGAGATGATAACAGTACCTCCTTCCCTCCCTCCCACAGTTGTCATGTTAACTAATACACACGAGCCCGGCACACCAGGGCTTCAGATGCATTGGCTGTGGTTTTTATCATGGTTGTTTTCACGATTAGTCGAATGGACAGACAGGCCCCAGCCCTGTAGGAATCTCCTCCGGTGAAAGGTAAGCCAGATGCTCACGCAGGACACCAGATGCAAACGGTAGGGGTGGGGGCCGGGCTGGGAGGAACGTGGCCATATTTGAGTTGAGCTGCCCTCGCAGGAACGGTGGGCGCTGGAGACAGGGGCCCGCCTTCCTCTAAGGGGCATGGGCTGGAAGCGTCCGGCCGGAGACGAAACAGTGTGACTTTGAGTATGGGGACACGGGCCACTTGTGAATGGGACTGGGTGGGTCACTGGGCCCCCTGTACCCGGGGCCCTAGCCCACCGCCGCCGCCTCACCTGCTTCCGCAGCCGTTTCTGCTTGCAATAGCGCGCGCCCGCGGCCAACCTGTTCAGTTGCCAGGCGACTTCGTTGCCAGGCGACTCGGGCAGCGTCTGCCGCGCCGCTTTCTACGTACTCAGCGCCCACCGCGCAGGCGCAGACAATCCAAGGCTGCCGCAGGCTGCAAAGTGGGAACAATAATTTACAGAGTTACCGTGGGGACCAAGGGCAACTCAGCTTTGTTCAAGGTACAGAAGGGAAGGGAAGTGACTTACTTACGCCCTTCTCTGTGCTGGGTACTTTGCATGCTTCGCTCTGGTAAAGATCCCCATGCGCATGTAAAACTGGTAACATTTGTGTGCGTTTCTCTTGCTAATCTGCCTGTTGTTAATTTGGTTTCTAGATCCAGGCAAAGAGCCCACTTAGGAGCTAAAGAAGGGTTGAGGCCAGGTGGAGTGGCTCATGCCTGTAATCCCAACACTTTGGGAGGCCAAGGTGAGCAAATCACATGAGTCCAGGAGTTCAAAACCAGCCTGGCCAACATGGTGAAACCCAGTCTCTGCTAAGAAAATAAATAAATAAATAAAAAGAAAGAAAAAAAAACTTAAAAATTAGCCAAGCGTGGTTGGTGAGCACCTGTGGTCCCAGCTTCCAGCTACTCAGGCGGCTGAGGCATGAGAATCCCTTGAGCAGGGAAGCGGAGATTACAGTGAGCCGAGATCCCGCCACTGCACTCCAGCCTTAGCGACAGAGCACAAAGCAAGACTCCATCTCAAAAACAAAAGAGCTAAGGAGGATTGAGGGTGATCTCTGTCTCCTGCCACATCCCCAAATCCCAATTAGTAATTGATCCCACAATATTTAATCTTCCCTTCTAAATCCATTGGCACACTCCCTTCCCCTGATTCTCTATTTACATCTCTGCCTCTCCCAGCAGACTCCAATTTTCCTGAGGGTGGACACCATGTCAGTTCTGTTTCCTTGTCTCCCCAGTGCTAGGTATATACCTGGAGGCTTTCAGTACGTGTAGGACAAATGAATGGTTAATAGACTGGAGTCAAGCTTTACAATATAAAAGCACTTTCACCATCTCATGTGGATCCCTTGAAGTAGGTAGTTGTGTTCATTTTATAATTGAGTAAACTGAGGTGTGGAAGATGGAACAACTCACCTAAGTTCACCCCCTAAGCCTCAACCGTAGCAGTGAAACTCACTAAATGGGCTGGGCGCGGTGGCTCACACCTGTAATCCCAGCACTGTGGGAGGCCGAGGCGGGTGGATCACGAGGTCAGGAGATTGAGACCATCCTGGTCAACACGGTGAAACCCCGTCTGTACTAAAACTACAAAAAATTAGCTGGGCATAGTGGCGCGTGCCTGTAATCCCAGCTACTCAGGAGGCTGAGGCAGGAGAATTGCCTGAACCCAGGAGGCGGAGGTTGCGGTGAGCCGAGATCGTGCCATTGCACTCC